TGATTCACATTTCTAAGCTTAATCAACTTAATTTGATTAATTATAGAAGCCTGTATTTCCTAGCAACTCCTGCCTTCTGGAAAGTATCATGTCCAAGCATACAGAATAATTGGATTCTTCTGATTAAAATTATGTTGGGTAGACTTACTTCACATACATATAGCTACTTACAGGATAAATCTTTACATATCTCAAGTGGAAAGTGAGGGTAGGACTACGCTAGGTTAATCTGACTTTTTTTTTTAACCAGAATCACTCAATGCAATCATTCAATCCAGTCCCTCAGATATTTATTGAGCTACTACTATGCATCAGGCCCTATAGGCTGAATACTGTATTAATTTCTGAGAGCTGCTGTATTAAAAGACACACACGAAAGAAATGTATTCTTTGTTATGGAGGCCAGAAGCACACCCCCTCCTAAGGCTCTAGGAGAGAATCCTTCCCTGCCACTTCTAGGTTCTGGTGGCTCCAGGCATTCTTTGTCTCTTTGTCTTGTGGCTACATAACTTCACACCCTCTGCCTCTGTCTTCACATGGACTTCTTTATCTTCTTTTCTGTCTTTTTACAAAAGACACTTGTCATTGGATTTGGGTCCACACAGCTAATACAGGATGACTGATATCTTTAACTTACTTGTACCTACAAATTCTCTCTATCTCTCTCTCTATCTCTCTCTCTCTCTGTAGATAGGGGCAGGTAGAGGGGTAGTAGAGATGTCATCATTCGACTTACTACGGATACAATAGTGAATAAAATCCCTGCCCACATGGAATTTGTAGTCTAATTGGGAAAAAATTATGAAAGAAGTCATTTCAATAAAATATCATGGAAATTTATAGGTAGAAGTAGTACAAGGGTCTGTGGGAACATAAGTCTGGGGACCTAATCAAATCTAAACATCAGAAAAAAAAATTAAAAAGCTTTCCAAATGATGTGATATTCATGTAGGAGGAGTGAATAGGAATTGACCATGAAAGAGAATTTGGCACTCTCGAGCCACTGGAGGAAATTCAGCTTGGTTAGAGAATGATAAGATATTAATCTGGAGATACACACTTAAAGCCATTTATAGAGAGCCTTGTGAATGAAGTTAGGGACTTCATCCTGAGTAGTCATAGTTTTGTGATTGGCTAACACTAATATGATGAGGCAGAAATTATCCCCATTAAGGACCAAGAGCTGCAGCACAGATCATGAGTGTTCCTCTTATTTTCATATGGAAACTCTTATTCTTCCCAATATTTGTAGGCTTTATAGATAACACAATATCATCATAAAATTGATCTGAAAGATTGTGACAAAGACATTTAATTCAACATTCTCATCTTACAGACATGAAACTAAGGTCAAGCAAAATGGATGGAGGACCCACAAAAGAGCTGGATCCAGCCATTTGTTCTGTTATTAAAAACGATAGTGTAAAATACTGGCAATAGCATGGGCCTGGCGCCTGGCCATTCGAGGTTGAATTGGCAGCTTTCCTGTGTACAAGAAGGGTGAACTTAGGCAAATAAATATAACCACTTAAACTAGGAATAATAATAGTTCCTACCTATTTTTTTAAAGATTTTCTTTATTTATTCACGAGACAGAGAGAGAGACAGAGAGACAGAGACACAGGAAGAGGGAGAAGCAGGCTCCATGCAGGGAGCCCAACATGGGACTCCATCCGGGGTCTCCACCATCAGGCCCTGGACTGAAGGTGGCGCTAAACCGCTGAGCCACCAAGGCTGCCCCTAGTTCCTACCTATTAAGACCATTGTGCAGAATACTTTGATACTGAATTTGAAGCACTAAGCATAGTGCTAGAGGAGAGTTTAGTATGAAACAAATAAGGGGTGCTATTGATTATAATGATGTCCCTAATTTGTTCACAATCATCCCAGCCCCATAATCCATGACATTTTACTCCTGGTATAATAGTGCATCATATTTATATGCTCTTGTTTTCAAATGACTTATATATTTTTATACAGTTGGGTCTTAAACAACATGAGGGCTAGGGACACCAATCCACCCCCACTGCCCCATGCAGTCAAAAATCCATATATAACTTTGACTCCCCAAAAACTTAACTACTAGCCTACTGTTGACTTTACCAATAACATAGTCAACACATATTATGTATATGAATTATATACTGTATTCTTTTTTATATATAATAAATTTATTTTTTATTGGTGTTCAACTTGCCAACACCCAGTGCTCATCCCGTCAAGTGCCCCCCTCAGTACCTGTCACCCAGTCACCCCCACCCCCCGCCCTCCTCCCCCTCCACCACCCCTAGTTCGTTTCCCAGAGTTAGGAGTCTTTATGTTCTGTCTCCCTTTCTGATATTTCCCACATATTTCTTCTCCCTTCCCTTATATTCCCTTTCACTATTATTTATATTCCCCAAATGAATGAGAACATACACTGTTTGTCCTTCTCCGATTGACTTACTTCAGTCAGCATAATACCCTCCAGTTCCATCCACGTCGAAGCAAATGGTGGGTATTTGTCATTTCTAATGGCTGAGGAATATTCCATTGTATACATAGACCACATCTTCTTTATCCATTCATCTTTCGATACTGTATTCTTACAGTAAAGTAAGCTAGAGAAAAGAAAATGTTAAGAAAATCATAATAGAGAGACACCTGGGTGGGTCAGTGGTTAAGCATCTGCCTTTGGCTCAGGGCATGATCCTGGAGTCCCCGGATCGAGTCCTGCATCGGGAACCCTGCAGGGAGCCTGCTTCTCCCTCTGCCTGTGTCTCTGCCTCTCTCTGTGTGTCTCTCATGAATAAATAAATAAAATATTTTTTAAAAAATATAATAGAAAATACAATTATAATACTGTAGTGTATTATCAAAAATTTTTTTCATATAAGTGGACCCATGCAGTTCAAACTTGTGTTGTCCAAGGGTCAACTATATGTTAATCTCCAAAGAAGAGTGTTTAGGATTTCTGGTACAGAAGTTAAGAAACAATTATACAGGCATATGCATTTTTCAAAGTGTCACAACTTAATATTCTGTTACTTAATTAAAATTTTAACTGAAGCAAAGTTCATAAATATGTAATTGCAACTGTGAAAAAGGAGATATATTAGTAAAACTGGCAGTTTGCTAAGCAGTCATTGAAGTTAAACAACAGTGTTTTATAACAAAGTAATCTGATTTTCAAAAGACCCAATTACCTAATCTTCTCCTCTATCTGAACTTTGTATATATGGTCTTAATAAATCACTTGCTACCTGGCTATTATGAAAATACAGGCTCTAGTTTTAGAACTCTTGAATTATATATTTTACAAATACAGCTGTCGCTAAGTAAATGTTTTCTTTTTAAATGCCATCTTCTTTATCTTCAAAAATTTAATGTTGTTTTCTGTAACATCTTTTCCTTATAATTTGTTATTCAATAATTTTCAATGTGAAAATGTGACATTTAAGAGCACACATTAGTTCCCACAATATCAGTGCTATTTTGAAGATTAGGAAATTCATTGAGGACCTAATAAAAAATCTTCAGCACGTTATTTCTTGGATAAAGTGCAACTCTTTACCTTGAATCTGCACAGACTATGAGCTAAAGGAAATAGATGCTTGAAAATATCTTAATTAAATCATAGTGACTAAAATCTAATTCCAAGGTTTAATAAATTTCTTACTGTAAACTGAACATAAATGATTTTTTTTATTTACCTTTAGATTTCCCAAAAAGCTTCTTAAGGGCTGTGACTGGTTTCTTATTCAACAATAGCTTTTAGTGTTCAGATATTTTCTTGTAGATATGTCATTTTTATTGAGGAAGTTATTACCCTGGATATAAATTTGCACATAGTATACCGAGTACTTGATGCCCAAAAGATCTACTTCTGTGAAAGTCTTAAAGTGCCCAAGTTTAATAAATTTTTATGAGAATTAAACGGTTTCTCAGTTATATTCTTTCTTTGATTCAGTTTTCTGTGTATAAACGATTTGATTAACAGATTTTTATAGTAACCAAAATAAAAATCAATCTTTATTTTATTTAAAAGGTAGTAAAGGGACTGATTGATTCAATACTTTAGAATATTTATAATTAAGTTTATCATTTAAGTTATAGCATAAGAAGGAGAAATGAACCATAAGTCTAAAGATTGAATTCTGGTGATTGGTGTGAATTCACACACCAATTCTGTGTGAAGTTGGGCAAGTTCTTTACCTTCTCTGGGCTTTGGTTTTCTTACCTCTGTTATTAAGCAATTGTATGTATCCTATCTAATAAAAAATATAACTGATTAAAACCTCTCTAATACACAAATAAGAATGTCTAATGAATTAATTGAACTAATATATTTTAAAAGATTCCTGGAAAGTAGTAAACATGCATCTAATACAGTGTTAGACACAGTTTTGTTAATGAGGAATAATATGTTCGTACCATATGTTATCTAGTCTTTTCTTCAAAAAAGGAAGCTTTCAAATGTCATTTTTTTAAAATTACTGCTAAATATCTAAGAATTTGCTATGCACATCCTTGTGCTGTAGAGTGCAAATTCTTAACTTTAGTGTTTGAATTAAGCTCTATTAAATACAAAAAAAAAAGCTTATTCTTAAATGAATTATGCAACAGTCTTTCTACTTTGTGGAAAGAAACACCAAAACAGTAGGTAAAGCCTATAGTCTGTTGATTAAAGTGTTTAAGGAAATAAATTAGCAATTACATAAACAAAATCCTTTAAGTCCATCTGTTGATTTAGATTTGCAACAAACACTTAATCCTAAAATGTGGGATATTAAGAATCCATCTACTCTATTGATATTTTTGTGAAAAAAAAAGAACAAAGAGTTATGACCTCAATCTTCAGACCCTTATTTTAGGTTTGCATCCTATCTGCCAAATAAAGGCAAACATAGTAGGGATTTTTGGTATCCACTAACATATTTTCAAGCATATACCAAGTTGTAAAATAATTTTGGTAGTGAAATGTCACCCAGGGAAATTTTAACATTGTATTTGTGTTTCAGCTTCTGACATGGCGGCAGAACAGGGACAGATTCTCGTCATAGCCACCGCAGCTGTTGGGGGCTTTACTCTCCTCGTCATTCTAACTTTGTTCTTCTTAATCACTGGGAGGTAACTAAAGCATACTAGATTATTTCCAAGATTTGTGAATAACCATTCTCTGATATACTTTGTATTCATACACTTTTAAATGTGACAAACCATGTCTGAGAGAAAAGATTCAGGGCAGATACTACTCTGACTGAGGTTTATATGATAAGAGAACCACCAAGGCTAGTTGTCTGTATCAAGGCTTGTGAATTTGAAAGCAACTGAAGACTTGATAAAAACACTTTGAAAGCTACAATGATAAATTCTTACTCCGTTACTTCAGAGTTATTCCTTTGCTACATTCAAATTTTACCATGAAAGGGATTTTTCCTGGGGAAAAAAAAATTCAACAGAGAATTTATATAAAAGCTCCTTATAAAGCTTCTATAAACTTATGTATTATATTTATTTATTAAATATTGAAAGGAAATATATTAGAATTATATTCTGATTTTATAGACCCAGTGTTTCTCCATTTTAGTGTAATAAGGATGAAAATTTAGAGTAACAATAAATTTAACATAGCAAAAGATCTAGATATGAATCCTGACAGGCTGGTTGAAGTGCTTCACCCATCTAAATCTTGTATTTCTATTTTTGCACCACATTTGGTATAACAATTAATTAAAACAATTTATTGATTTTTAGATATATTGGTTTGTTACCAGGAGGCAGGTACTGACAATACAGAGATGTGAATAAAGATATTATGTACGAAATTATATAAAAGAACAAGTATTATTTCTTATTTAAGCCTTGATATTAGGCTTCAACTCTTTGTCAGATATTAAGATATAAGATCACAGTTTTATTTCTACAGGGGGAAAAATTATTCCTTGTAGATTATTAGTAGGGGCACAAAGAATACCTCGGGAGTTTTCTTGATAATCTGAAAAGCACACATACTGCAGAAAACCAGTGTCATGATTTAAAAGTGCAATAAGCAGGCTAGCCAAAAAAATACACATCCATGATGACACCAGCTAAAGTATAACATCTCAACTGGAAAATGTTGATATCTGATAATGAGCAGAAATAACAAATAGCTACCTTTGGGACAATAGTTCAGTGAACCATCAACACTCTTTTTGTTTTGTTCATTTTAAAATTCTATTTACATATCAACATTTTATTAAAATTAATTTTTATTAATTATAGACATGCATGCATGGAGAATTATTATCTACAATTTTAAAGCAGGCTAAAGGTGCAAATCAATAAATTCACAAGTACTTAGAAGGCACTTACCAAAGGTGGGTCCCTGTCTGACTATAACTGAATAATTAACAATTATAATAATAACAATAATAATTTCAATTCTGCTAAAGGTGTCAGAGTTTGTTGTAACAAACCCACTTTTACAGAACTTATCAGGGAACAAAGAAACATGAATATTATAATGTGGTTGAGTAGAAATGGTGACTTCTTTATGAAATTAATTGTAAAAGGGGCACATTTACCCCATGTTTACTTAAAATTTTTATGTATAAATAGGCCCAGTATTGCTCTTGTAATAAACAGAGAATATCTCTCAGAGTGTCCTGTTTTGTGAGACTGATTAGCTGAAAAAAGAGTCATAGCTATAGTAATAAGAAAAAAGAAAAAAATATATATGAAAGAATGCAGGAAATACCAATAAATCAATCCTAATAAAAAGTACTAGTTTGGGCATGTGCTGGTGCCACCATTCTCAGCACTTTTGCCCAACACTTTGTTTCTCTCTCCCTTTATACCTCATGCTAGCCTCTGATAATTCGTTTTGTCATCACAGTCTTGGTACCACCATCTTTAATAGTGGGCAAATCACAAATTTTTGATTCTCTAAACCAACTAACCATTTGGTTGAAAACAAAATATTCCATATAATACTCTACAAATATCAAACATGACCTACAAAATCCTTAATGACTGGCAGGGGAGAACTGGTTATGAAAACAACCAAACAAAACCCTACGGATCCCGGTGGAGGTCTAAGTTTGTTTGAAAAAAAAAAAAAAGGCGGGGGGGAGGGCGGTGTAGTGTTCTTCTGATCCTATCTAAGTCTGTCTTGCAAGAAGAGGAATTAAGTACAATTTTGGTGCATAGAAAGTCACAATGACAACTAGGTTAAAAAAAAATAAACATGTCAACACTTTATGTGTTGCTATATGTTTAGCAAACCTTTAGCCTTTAGGCTAAATCAGTTTGCCCTAATAAACTTGAGACATGGGCTCAAATGTTATCTTTATTTGGGATTTCTGAAGCAGAATTTGAATACCACTTAGATAATTTAATGATAAAGAAAAATTTGTACTAAATTATTTTCAGCTCTTACTTTCCATATTTGCCAATTTATATGATATTACAAACTTCTTCTTTAATGTTCTACATCCTGGGGAAGATAATTTCAATTACACAAGTTAAAAAAAATTCATTCTGAAGTATCCCTTAAGCACTGTGATGAGGGGGAGAGGTATTCATTGGAAATTATTCTACAAAAGCTATAAAACATTTCTGAATAAATACTCAATTTGCCATAGGGTTTGAGGATAAATTCACATTGAAAGATTGGATTGTATACCACAGATGTATTCTGTTTAACCATTTGGAATTAGAAATTTGATGAACTGTCAAATCATATGGATGCTGATGAATTTATTCATGTTGAAGAAGTCATGCAAAATAAGCATCTCCTCTTTCTTAGAGCACAATTATCCGAAGAGAGAACAGAACATACCTCTACCAAATTTCTGACATTAAAAGAAAAACCTTCCCCTTAGCAATGAAACTAGAAGATAGTTGTCTAAATGTCCGAGATTCTGACTCAAAAACACTTTCTCATTTTGACTTTTAATGCTTTTTATCAACTCAGCTATTAGAGGTTATATAAGGAAGGACATGATGGTTATTACTGATTATAGAATATTCTCTAAGATTCCTATCATTTGGATCAATCAATCTAGCTGAGAGTACTTTGTTCTAATCTGGACTTAATTTTGATGTGTAGGAAAAGCCTTGTATAGAGTATGTTTACGTGTTATAAAGATGTTCTTTAAAAATAGCCTTTAGGATAAGAACTTTGCCCGTGGGTGGTAGGTATTTTAGTTGGTTTTGACTCTCATCCAGTTCTAAAAACAAGATTCTGTTTACCCTTTTAAAAGGTGCCAATGGTACATAAAGGCCAAAATGAAGTCAGAAGAGAAGAGAAGAAACCACTTACAGCAGAATGGGCATTGTAAGTAGTACAGTGACTCTCCATTGTTCTACATTCTTCTAGCCCTCAAGAGTTCATTTTAAAGTCATATCCACTGAGTTGGGAAAAATCTCAAAAGAAACCAAAAAAAAAAAAAAAAAGTACTTCCAGGATTAAGAATTTTCATCTGGTTTCCAGGTTTTTTTGTGGGAATTGCACCTGCTTCTCATTAAATGCTAGTACATTTTTACTAATTCTGCTTGCTGGAGAACAGGAAGACTGAATATGCTAAAAATACAGGATGACTGCTTTTATCTAGTTATTTACCATTCACAGTGGCTTCTGAATGTGAGTTGGTTTTATTTAGTAGAGCATTAGCCATAGAAACATTAAGGAATTTTTATTCCTTCTTGTAGGGATTGTCATTTAAACATATAACAAATCAATTTACAATTCATTAACACTAAAAAAGAAAATCAGCTCTTTAACTTTTAGAATATGTATGAAATCCTTGAGCTGACTACAAGGTTATATTCATTTGTAGAATCTCTTCCCAAGCAAGCTATAATTACCACTAAAGTTAGTTTGGTAATTGCCACCCTCTCCTCCCCAACGCCCACCTCCACCTCCACCTCCAAATGGCAAACTGCTTTGTCAAGCCAGCTTCTTGGTCGTGAGCCTCTGAATTAACAAGAAAGGGATGTTCTCTAATTAACCAGGATATAGAGATAATGTGTGAAGCACATTGTTTAACTATTTAAATTCATCTTTACTTCAAGTTGACCAAAAGTATGAATAAGGGACTTATCAATCTATGTCCCGCTCTCAAGAGGGCAGAAAGGGTTTAAGTGAGTATATTATAAACTAAGAGGGAAGTTTAGGGCTATTTCTCTAAGGCTCACAAGATTTTTCAGTGGTCTGTGGACTCTGCATTAGAATGTTCCATCCTCACTCACCGAAGTTCTGACTCAGAAGGTCCAGGTTAGAGCCAAGATATATGCATTTTTAGCAAGGTTCCCTAGTTGCTTTTTTTTTTTTTTTTTAATAATACGTTTGAGGCTCACTACACTGGTAGAGAGTAGAAAGCTGAGACAGCCACTACCAGCCATGGGATGAGCTGTAAACACTGTGAACAGTTGCGGAGAACTGGATCCAAACACCTGGACAGATGACATATGCTGAGCCTTCTTAAGATGCACTGCAGGGCATTTAGTGCTGAAATACAGAGGAAAAAGATCCCCCTGAGGTGTTATTATCTGTTTTCCGACTAATGGTTTAGCATTAACTAAACCAGATGTGCCCAGCAAGAAAAAGTAACCTAAGGTAGTCGAAGAAGTAAAAGAAAGATAACAAACTGATGTTTAAGAAGCCATGGATAAGTTAAATAAGTAACCAGGTAGTCAAAATGGGAACCAAATTTTTCCCCTATACTACCTATATTGTGTCGACAAAAAAAAAGTGATATTAACACCATAAATCCAATTGGATACCATGAGTTATGTAATAGTAGCCACTAGATTGCATTTAGATTGTTCAATCTAACACCAAAACTCCCAGTAAGTTACAAAGTATTGTGAGGAATATGGACCAGAAGTTAAGATTATCTGATCTCTTTTCCCTCAAGTCTAAACTCTAGGAAGTCAAGAAAAGCACAGTATTCAGAATCGTTGTCACGTTTAAGTATACCTAGAATGCTTCACCGGCAGTATTTCAGGAAGTCCTAATCTTCTCACAGGTGCGTTATCTAGTAGCAGAAGACCGTAGGCAAAAAGTAATAAAAGAAAGCAACAGGCAAAGCAGAACCCATGAAGTAAATTCTGCTAATCATGAGCATTTTATCACCTCCTCTAAACTCACTCTATTTTTCTTTGTCTGATTTTGAGATTTTCTTGCAAGAGCATGTTTCTACAGAAACCCAGCCGACACTCCAGATAATATGATTTTCAAAATCAAAAGTAACAAAATCAAGTATCATCCATCCACTATGCCATGCATGTGTATTTATCTTTTAATCCCTACTAATTCATGTTCAACAAAAGCTTTCTGTGTGGTTATTACCCATAAAAGCATACCTAAGGTATTTGGGAAGATACACAGATGTATAAGAGATGATCTCCTGTCCCCCAGGAGCCAGACATCTAACCTGGAAAACAAGAAACCAACCAGCAAAACCGAGGAATATCCACAGGGAGTCTGTTACTTCTTCAGATGCCGGAAGAAGTTGCAAATGACTGTGTATTCAGACATTCAAGTTTTCCGGCCATCCCTATTCATCCTCCTAACTGCCAGTGGGCCCTGAGCCCTCCACCCCTTTCAGAGAGAGTAGCAGCTACACAGCCAGTGATCAGATTTGGGCCTTCGATTCCCACGCTTTCCTCCAGGATAGACGGGGGTCCTTTCCAGGATCATGTGCAGTCTGGCTATGGAAGCAACTGCAAGAACAGGAAAGGCTGTTGTCCACTGTCATCTTCCCTCACTCTGCCATGGGGTCTGTTCTTTATTGCCTGAGAATTTCTGGCCTGAGGCATGAGTTTAGAAAACCCAGTGCCCAGCGCTAGTACAAAGGGTCCAGGAGGGGCCTGACAGGCTTGCTCGTTTGGAGGAAAGGCGCCTTCCTTTCTCCTCCATGTCCTGAACCAGATCAGATATGAAGTGTATGGGTTATTAGTGAATAGATGAACTGATGAAACATTTTACAGAGATATAATCAATATGTTTTCTCGGACCTGTCAGCTCACTCTCTATTAAAGCACCAGCTCGTTTTACATTAACAGGTAAATAATTTTTTTTATTCCAAGCACTCAAAGCTATAATGGGGGGTAAGGAGGAGTGGGACAAAAAGAGAAAAGACAATTGAATTTAAGTAATTAACAAGAATGACTACTTTAGTATGTCAGTCCTTGTTTTAAATATACACAAGATGTGTAATTACTAAAATACTTTACTAAATCAATCTTTTATTTGTTGCAGTACGTTTCCCAGGAATTAAAACTTACATAGATCCAGATACATATGAAGACCCATCCCTAGCAGTTCATGAATTCGCAAAGGAGATTGATCCCTCAAGAATTCGCATTGAGAGAGTCATTGGGGCAGGTAAACATAAAATCATACTTTTGAAGATAAGATTCTATGATGATTTTATAACTGTGTACCAACATAATACTTTAAACCTTAGCCATTTTAGTCATTGAAAAATTTTAAGAAATGAGAAGTAAAATAATCTTACATATGTTATTTTTTAAAAGTATTTTAAGCACCTAAATTCATTTTATAAGCAATGAGAGAATTCACAAATGTTATTTCTAACTCCTGTCGTCTTCTTTCAGTATGAAGATAACTATAATGAAACTAGAGTGATGCAGGAATTTATTTTGAAGATACAACTTGAGGAACTTTTCATAAGTTATTATAGATTTACTCACACCCCAACATACCCTATAATTGGTATTCATATTGATAACCCTGAGGCCTTGCAAGATCCAGAAGTGCTCTGAAAATCATTGAGGATAAAATTAGCTTCTATATAGTTTTATATCATTTTGATGCTAATTAGTGATTTTCCCTATGCAGAATGTTCAAATAACACTGTTTTATTCAACTATTCAGGATAAATACAAACTTATTGTGAATTAGCTCCCAAGAGTTCACTCTATACATTACTTATGGTCAAAGCCTTCCAGTCTATGAGAAGGAGAAGGAAAGAGTTCAGTCTTCTTTTCTTTGCGGGGTGGAGGGTTGTCTTTAAGGCAGTAACATGGAAATTGCAAATATGTCTATTAACATCTCAGTGGTCCAAATGCACCTACCTGAGCACAGAGAGGGAGAATTTGACATATACTCTCTGACTAGAAAGCCATGCATGCAGCTCAGAAGAGATGGGAGAAGTGTAAGTAGAGAAGGGACATGGGATCGTGAATCGGGGTATTGGTGTTCTCTAGATGCTGAATATCTGTGTGATCCTTTGGCCAGAGCAGAACATTCCAAAGCATGACCATTCCAGCCAGGTATTATGTCTTCACGAGGGCCAAAGAAAGCAGCTGATTATCCTTTGTCTCTTTCCAAAGCCCTTCTTTGTCAGAGGACCAGCTGCATAGTCTGCAGGGACCAATGCAAAACTGACAATGTAGAGTGTCTTGTTAAAGTTATTAAGAATTTCAAGACAGTGATATCAGAGCTTCTAGCAAATGACAGGCCACTTCTAAACTCAAGATTCTGCATGACGACTCCTATTAAATGGACTCTGTTGCCCAGATACACAGAAAATCTAGCACCATACAAGAATTCCAGAGACATTTAGAGAGTCCTTCCATGTATCACTTTATTCCCTAGGCAAAGCGGACCATCTCATCTCTTGCAAGGCCAGATCTCCCTTTGAAAGCTGACACAAGGGGCCTATACACTTAATCCTAATGCTCACAGCTGAAGAGGTTGTCTTATCAGAAAGATTAAGAACCTGGAATGAAACCAGATTCTGTATTCTCTTCTGTTGAACATAAAGCACATCAATGGGCATTAAAGGTATAATTGAAAGAGTGATTGCATTATATGCATTTAGTTTGGGGATTCATTTACTTAAGACAGCAAAGAGAGGAGAGAGGAGGCCAAATAATTCCATTGCACCTACATTTGGCTTTCTTCCTCGGGTCCCCAAGAAAAAGTGGCATGTCCTTTTATACTGCAGTGTTCAGTCCTCGCATAGATAACTAGAAGCCTTTTCCATTTACAGCCCTTTGTACATAAATTAAATGCCAGTGTCTGAAATCATAATGTTGAGAAATAAAATCAAATATCTAAGTATTAACAAATAAATTACTTTCATTTTTAGTTTTTAGGTTTCCTTCAACCAACATGTAAATTTTGTTCTAAAAAAGTATAATATATTTCCAAAGCAAACAGTTAACTATTAGAGACTATTTTATAGCATATTCCTTCTACTCTTGTCTCACCTCTACTCAGTTGTATTGGGACCCCTCTCATTTGGCAAAAACAAAATAGCTAAACCATGTAGTAAGCCCTATACATCAGTATCTCTTTTTTATATTTATTTACCTTTGATTATGTCAACTTTCAAAAAATAAGCTTTTTATTGTCCATCTTCAGAAAAATCATAAAAATGCCTATGAGGCACAGTTGTAACATACCTTCCTCTTTGCATTTCTGGCCAGTACTACTTTGTTAATTAAACCCATTTGTGTCATGTTCTTAAAATTCTATTTGAATGTGGAAAAAAATTAATGAATGTGTGGACATTTCTCATAGCAGCAGTGTGAAAAAGGCACTGTTTGGTCAAACTAAAGAAGAATTAATACAATTATGTTAACATCTGTGACATAATTACATAACTGGTTACTTACCCAACATTTTACTATAAATACTTAGGTTGTTTCATATCCTTTATTTTTCCCCACCTATTTGTTTCTTCTCAGACTCCTACTTTCTCATTATCTGTGTGCATTAGGTATTCCCCCTTGGAAATGTAAATTAAATGACTTAATGGCAGTGTAGACACTGGACAGAGGTGTGTTAGAATGGAGGAGATGGGAGAGAGGCAAGGTATGAGGTCTTAGTAATTGTCAAGGGAAAGATATTTAGGTCTAATTAAAGCACTCAGAGTAGAGAGTAGCCATAGAGAGAATACCTAGATTCACAATTCATTACTGAGGAAAAATCTTTTTTGGTGAAGAAATAGTTAAAAATGTTGTCCTGGGCTCTGTCCAACAGTAGTGAAATGAATGTTCCAACTTTATGCAGAGAAGAGCCTACATAGTCAGGCTGTGGGTAGGCAGCAGGTGTAGTTAGTAGGCCTCTGAGTTTTGGGGTTCCTTCAGTGGGATTAGATTCTAAATGAAAGTGAGTAAAAAAGCTGAGGGTTGATAAAGCCTGTGTTCTCTACAGGCTCATGCTTTTGATTCAGATCAGGTCTGGATAAGGATGAGTGGCCCAGTTTAAATAGTTTCCAAAATTGACTTCAGTTTGAAAGTTAAGTTGAAACAGAGCTTTAGAGTCAAACAGAATAGAGTTGAGTGGTGATTCTGCAATTTAACAGTTGCATGATTTGAGTCAAATTCTGGGTGTCAATTTCCTTATCTGTAAAATGGGCATATACTACCTATACTACCTATACTACCTTCTGGGGTTGTTGTTAGGCTTAATTCAGATATATATGTATAAACACCTGGCATTAAGCACAAGGTATGCAATAAATCATCTTCACCCGTCTCCCCTGGTGTGTTTTATCATTGAAGCCTTAATATAAATAGAAATTGAATTTTAAACTTTGATAATGATAATGCTTACACTGGCTACTTCCCTTTGGAGATTCTTTAATTCTGATAATGAATAAAATTTGTTTTTTATTAAAACAAATGATTAAAATTTGTTTTTTATTCAGCACCTGCTCAAGGCCTGGCCCTGTCTTAAGTACTTTTCATATATTTTCTTGTAAAATTGTCACCATAACCCCATGAGGCAGATAGTATTATTCTTATTTATAGATGAAGAATGAGGTCAAGAAGATTAAGTGACTTGTTCAACATTATAAGTCTGGGTAGTAGAAGACCTGGGGTTTAAACCCAGATAAGACGGACTTCTAAAGACTACCTACCATTCTTAACCAATATGTTATATTGTATCTGTATTACTAGTTCACTTTATTCTTCCTCAAACCAAAAACACTTGCGTCCATAAAAGGTATCAAATGTGCTTTAAAAAGAAACCGTTCCTAATTTTAAAAATCTCAGTTTAAAGATATTTAATATCTTATTGAAACAGAAATTTTAATCTTCTGAGAGACAATCAGGAAATCGTTTTGATGAAAGAATATTGAATTTCTTACTCTGTATAGATATTTAGAGAATAAATATGTTTTGTGGAGAAAAGAAAATAAATTACATTTAAATCAAAGTCTGAAAGAACCAATTATAGAGATATTCACAATCTGGAAATCACTGCAATCCTTAAAATTTTATTATTAACATTTTATCATTCATGAAAATGAGAATTTGTAGACATCAAAGGCTGTTTGTATTCTTTTAAAATTTCAAGTATCACATTAATTTGTGTATAGGTGCTCAAAAATTATGTAATACTCACCTACTCCCATTATCACAAAATATGGGAATGGATAAATATGAGAAATTTGAGAATATGGAAAATGAAAAACAATCTGGAAATAGACAAAATTATTTCTGAGGCCAAAGAAAATAATGCTTCAAATAAATAAAGAGGCAAGGGAGCATTTTCATGGTGGGTGGGGCTGAGGAGGCACTTTTATTGCAAGACTGTTATTTGCTGTTGGCCAGTGGGTCCTATTAGAATTCTTTTCCTTGTGTTTTGCTCTAAAGAACAAATGTCATTCTAATGCCAGCATTATCAAATGCCATTTATTGCTTATTTTTACATTTCTGAAATTTGCCTTCTTCTTAAATAAAGGTATGTCTTTCTAGAATATTAAAAGCCCTAATTTAACTAATGATAAGATTATTCAGAGTTAAGTAAAGCATCTTTGAGCATTTGACTTATCAATGTAATTCAAATGAACTGTCTCAGAGAAAAATTAGCAAAATATCCTGTTTGTGCTGTAAATAGCATCTTTTCTGTTTTGCTTTTTTTTTTTTTTTTTAAGAATGCTTTCCAGGCTTCTAATTGGGAGACACAATATATAATAATTAAATATTTTCTAAATTAGTTATTAGAAATGAACCCCAAAATAGCTACATTAAAGTTTTAAGAAAGAAAAGTGTGGAAATGATATCACACTTAATCTGTAATATGTCTTAACATGTTCACTGAGAAATGTTTGTTAGATGGCTAATATCTATTTATAAAAGGCACTGGGCTAATTGATGGTTTGTTTGTTTGTTTTTTCATATTAAGTCACTATGCTTATCAAAAGCATATGGAATCAACCTGTCTTCCACAACCTTTGTCCTGGGATTTTCAACTTTATTACTACCCAAATATTATGTGACAAATTCTTAGAAAATGTATTCTATATCTAGACTGAATACACACACACGTATATGTATATATACATACTTAAAGCTCCTTATCTTTATAAAAAAAATTTACTTTTTTTTAAATAAGTTTTCTAG